TGCCCACAAAAACTAACGGAAATAATCATATTTCCGTTATATATTTTTTTTAATGACCACATTTCGTCATATAATACCAGGTGGCGCATCAGCGCCATCTGTACGATATGACGACTTCATTAGGGATCGTATTCTAGAACTCTACTCAATGCTCAAGTCAGGATTTGAGCAGACTTGAGTGTGCTTTCAAGCACTGGAAATACGACCCTAATGGCAAGGACTTGAGTATGATTTTCAATGCTCACTGCAATACTCAAGTCCAGACTTGAGTATTGAGTAGAGTTCTGGAATACGACCCTAAAAAACCTGATTGAATGAAAAAACAAGGAAAGCGTGAACGGGGATGGCTGAGAATAAGTTACATTAACCAAATAAAAAAGTCCCTTATGTCGTATAAGAAGGAAAAGGTAAAGAAAAAGCTATTACAGAAGATGGAATGGCGTTTACTACCCCGCTTTGTAAATTTAAAGAAAGAGAGGCATATTTACGATAAACATATAAATTTTATAATAACGCACACACTTATAACCCCGCACTAGAGAAACCCTGTGTCGCGGGTGCCATGGGCACGCATAAAAAACAACCACAAATTATAGCGAAACACAAGAGAAATAAATGTAGGCCAGAGACCTCTACGCCTGTCCGGCCGCAGAGGCAGTTAACAAAAACGGGGAAAACTGTAATTAACAAATGAAATAACGACGAATAATTCACATATCCAAGGCACCAAAACGTACGAAATGACAGCCATCGACGATATTAACATCGAATTAAATATCACATTATATATACTACAAATCACGTATGTTATGTAAGTAGTACCGTTTTACGACGGCATAAATTTGTAATTTATGTGGAAATTTATTGTCTGTAGTTCAATTACAGTTTATGTTTGGTGATTTCTCTACATCAAGATCTATGGGGTCTAGAACGCTGTTACTGGATCCTTATTTTCAAGTTTCTTGGGGACATTTTTAATTGGCCTGAATCTTAAATAATAATTTCTAATTCGACTTACTCCTAATCAGCCGCTGGAGTACAATTGGCTTTCAAATTTTTCTTATAACAGCAAGTGTTGGGACGAACAAGTCGTACGCCTGGTGGTAAGCGACACTCCTGTCTATGACAGTTGCAGAGCGGCTCATAGCTTTAAATCTCAAAGATTTTGGAGGCATCGTCAGTGAGACATAAGTTGAAAAGTTCCTTGTGTCTGTAATTTCACCAAAACCCTTACCCTTCAAAACCGATACGCAGTAATGCTTACATTACTGTTTGGCGACAGAAATAGGCAAGGTGGCAGTCAGTACTTCACTGAATGTATGACGAATTCTTTCACAAGAAGCTCTACTGCTACTAAACAATTATATATCACATTTTTATTCAAACACATTTGGTTGTTTTCAAGCAAATTAAAAAACACAATTCAACAGTCTCGTGTATCTGATAGACAGTAGGTACATGTGCGTTCGTGGAAGAGGGTTGAACAAACATGCCATTGTGTTGGAAACAAAGGGCTATTGGCGAGAAAGATGACGCTATGTGAAATTGTAAGGCAAAATGTAAATGAAACTGTACATTGTAGTTGGTAAAATTGAGGAACACAATGAACAGAATCGAGATATCGACCAGAATATTACGTAAAAAGAGAATAATTACAAAGATAAATTACCCTTTGTTTCATACAGCAAGGGATTTTGTAAACGGGGAAAATTTCATTTTAAAAATAGTCTATATTACATCATCATTTACATAGGACTTTAGTGGCAGTAGAGCTCCTTGTGAAAGAGTTCGTCCTGGGAAGTACTACCACCTTACCTATTTCTGCCACCAAGCAGTAATGTCAGCATTACTGTGTTCCGGTTTTGAAGGATAATGGGTGCTGGTGAAATTACAGGCACGTTGGACTTGTCAACGCATGTCTTAGGCTGACGGGCGCATTGACATTGCCCCTAAGATCTTTGCGATTTAAAGCTCTGAGTGGCACTGCAACTGTTATGAATAGACATAACGGTTAACACCAGGCGCACAACTGTTCGTCCCGTGATAAAAAATTAAAATTTGCAATTTCAAAATGCAACAGTTTTTATAGTTTAATTAGGTTCAGAATCTGTAGCCACATGTTACCAGGTAGGTGCTATGACTTAGTAAGGTTTCCAGCTTTGTAAATACTCATCGTCGTCATCGACAACCCATTATATGTATGTACATGCCACTGCTAGACATGAGTCTAATTTAATGAAAAGGTTCAGGTTAGGCCATAGTCCACCAGGTTTGACCAATGCAATGACATACAGGTTTTATAACGACATTTTCCTTCGTCGTTAACGAGAGGTATTGGTTACTAAACAATCACAAATGTACGGAAGTTACAAATTAAAGTCTTGTGGTGGCATTTCACTTGGCTATTTGCATTTGCGTATTTGATATGTTTGGCAAACAATCACCATGTGTAGATAGTATGTGTGACAAAGTGTTTGCCTATTCGACAAGTACAGCAAACACCAAACTCGCGTTACCGCGTGCTGGTCGTTTTCTCGATGCGCATCAAAGGAGTCAAATAGGCAAATACGCAAGTAAACCGTCTACACTATGATCATATTTATTATTTTATCTCTTTATCCATGTGTAGACAGTCACAATTGTCAGTGTCTGCATGTTTGTCTGTAAGTAAAATATTTTTCCAAGTACAACAAATACCCAATAACCAATAGAAATAGCCATGTAATGTGCTACCATTAAAGACACCATTAATAGCTTAATTGAAAAGCGGCCGTCGTCACTTTACGGTGGCTATCACGGATGTTATAAGTATTTATAAACAATATTCATCAAAACCACATTCCAAACCCTATCTCTACTAGTTATCATGAATTCCACCTTCGTCCCTGTTTTTAACACCTTCTAAGGTAGTAACTTGTTAATATTCAAATTCAATGCTGTTGTGACTCCGCTGTGCCTGTCGTTATCACGATCAACGACTTCACGACGCGACATGCCTGCGATCTTCACAATCGTGACTTAGAAAGGTTAATTGTTGCTATCACAACGGTAAATGTTAATAGTATTCTATTTTAATGTAAATAAGCGTTTAGGTTTCAACTATACAACAAATTTCAGCGGTTATATCTCCTATCTCACTTTTAATGTACCTTCATAACATAATTCATCAGTTCATCACCATTTTTTACCGTGGCCTTACTATTTAATATCGTTATTGACACATTCTACTGCATGCAAGCATTTTATCAGTCATTTACCATAGGTCGTGTCTATCTACATCTTATGATTAACACAAAATTCTCCACCGTATCCTACTAATTCTAGCTTGATTTTTATTTCAAGTCTTCTTGAGTTATGTGTTTCATTTATTTGTAGGAGTTTTCTAGTGTATCTATTTCTAGTTTGGTGGCAATGACCTAACCCGTATCTACCTGTAGCTGAATGCTTATGTTAGTAGGAAGCTACTCCGACCAAGATTGGTTACCAATACAATACAAGTTGCATTGCACAGCACGTCAAATAAGCATACCGGTTTGTATGTCCTTTAATTATACAGCTCTTCTATTTCTCATCTTGCTTTTTAACACTTTTTGAACCATATTTAGGAACTTATGTTCATATTGAAAGTTTTCGATGTTTAATTAGATTTTTTATTTGGAAACCATCTTTGTTGATTCTTTCATCGAAAATACATAGGGTCCAGTTTCCTACAAGTACCTTGAACTTCGAACTAATAAGGAATGGGACCGGATAACAAAGTTCAACAAAGCCAGTGTCCAATTATGGAGAATATGACCTCACTGCACGAGCACAGTGCATTCACCTTGGTGCATATCGTTGTACCGTTTTGTTGAATAAGCACTTAGAAGATGCTTTTTTGCAAGAGATAGCAATTTAAGCATTTTAAAGAGAGCTTGAACGGTTTTAATGATTTTTCTTAGTTTTAAATAAATGAGCTAGTTGTCTACTTATGGAAAGTATACCTACGTAATATACGGACGTTGATACTGATATTATAATAGATTGATGAAACCATTTACATTGTTCTTTTTCCGACTACTATTAGGCACAATTGTAAATAAAGAAGTACGTACATACTTTAAAACTTATAGGTAATATTAAAAAAGACACGGTAGAATAACAACAACGACACGATTGTAGCGATGTAGGAAATTATCTCTAATGATGTTTCCACGAAACATTTGTGAGATATGTGGCGTTAAGAAAAATCGCTGAAACTGCGCCAAATTGAAGATAAAAGGGTAAAATGCAAAAAAAGAGTGAAATTAATATAACTTTCAAATAATTATATTTAAAAATAATGACGTGAACGTTCTGTACAAATACATTAAAGTCTAAAACCCGTGTCGCAATGCGTTAACTGAAGGAATTATTGTGGGAAATGTTTTTGGAACAGTTGTCATAAAATGACAGTGGAATTTAGGACCGATAGCTGCGCATTTTGGACGTAAAGGCACAGAAAAGAAACGTTTTATAAATACATTATGTGCTTTTTCTGTGTAATAGATTTTTGAGTTAGATAATCTAGTAGGTACCACTCAAGTTTTCTCGCATATTGAGAGAGTGACTGTTTTATATATTTTTTTATTTGTGTCTAAGAAATTATCTTCCTGAATCAATGTATTTTTAGACTCCAGAGCCAGAGCACCAGTTGGCGTTTGTCCCCGTGTCTCCTTCACCTTGGTCGAGAGCTGCTTTATATCAAAGCTCACATTGACAGCGCCCGTGACACCGTCCGCGCTGGTCTCTTCCAAAATAAACACGTCAACAATGATACCAGTCGCAATAAAAATATATCTCTAGTTTTCTTTCCTAGCCACGTTGCAAGGTTAAAATTGTCACTGGAGCCGCATTTTTCATCAACATTCAGTGCACTAATCCCTCAAGTCCAAATAGCTGGCGGCAAAAATACATCTACTGCGCAAGTCACGATCAAGGACGTCTGTCCCCTGGACAATCACGAATATTAGGAAACTCACTGGTACTCGGCGTGAGGTCTTCTTTGTGGTTGTGGTGGTGATCGTCTCCTCCTCCACCGTCTCCTCCAGCACTTCTCCATTGTCGGACCACGGTCCAAAGAATTCCGACATTTTCTGTTGATTCTCGGACACCCACTGCACTGAACTGACAAATACCTTTCACACACATTCACTTCACTGGCACAAAGATTTGACCACAAACTACGCTGAAATCCCAGAACTGAATATTCAAATTTCGAAATCAATCTGGCCTTTTATGTCGAGCGTTGTAGGGCCCATCGCTGAGCAAGGGTGTTATGTTGTACTTTGTTAAGTTTTTCCGATTCCCAGTACACCACGATACATGCGGTGCACCGCCTAGACGGCCAGTGCTGATCTTGCTCAAAATCCTACTGGAAAACTGAAATAACCGCGGCGAACAAAAAGCACCAGCCAAAACATTTCACGTGCGGGCGTATTATTAGTTGGACGATCTAGCCGAAAGTGCTAAGTGTCACGGTGGCCTCCGTCACAAATAAAAAAGGATTGATATTGTAATTTTCTGTATCTTTTATCATTTATTTTGCGGATTATTTCAATTACTTTACTCTTCATTGCTTTTAGACAAATTTACTACGACGCAAACGGCTCTCTGCTGTCACTTTAGAATGTTTTCAGTTAATCCACTTTACACTTGATTTCCTTGATTTGTTAAAGAGGTTTACATCCAAACACGTGCTTATTTCTTTCAAACTGAGAGTTGTAATAAATAATTCCGAACATTATCATACACATATTTTTGTCTTTGCTGGGTGACGCGACTCCGACGCGATTCCAGTGTTTTTGCTTGTCTCGTTTAAATAAAAATAAACTGAAGGATGTTTGTGTCACTCGCTCATTGATCTGATGCGTGGATCCTGATAATTTAAAATTGTTTGAAGCTTGAAATACGTTCCTTGACACAACATCATGTGTTTGCTCAAGCTAATGTGCACTCTGCATTCAGGACTAAATATTGTATTGCTAACAATATTGGGAAAATTCCTGCTTTCCCTTAATTTCCAGTAACGATCGATGTTGTATGCAGCCGTCCAGCGGCAGCGTCGGCGTGGGCGCTGACAGCTCTCCACTTAATATAAATACGCGGCTTCTAACAGCGTGCGATAAATCTGTACCGCACCCTACCTAGCTACGCACCACTTGCTGCTCTAATATCGAATCAATAGAGTCTTCTATCCAGCGATACATTTCACTAATCGCTACAATATTTCCCGGTAACTTTTCTCCGTTCCCCTATCTCTATTATAAATTCTAAGTATATTACGATAAAGTCGAAATTTTGTGTGATTTTTATGGGTCATCTCTTGTATAATTCCGGATTTTTTTAAAGTAATTGGTAATTGGATCGAAAACGTGTTAAAAGAGGCCATTTTGACGCAATGTAAACATATGCGACGAGTAACAGATGGTCACCGTTGTGAAATTTAATTGCTAATCTAAACAGACTGTTCGGTGAGAGATTAATACCTTGCGGAAGAGAAATTCATAACTTTGTGTTGACTATTTAAGACCTTATTATGAAAACGATAAAATATTTATAGTATCAAATAATCATTTAACAAATATATTCGAGGATCGCTTGTAACGTTTGATTGCCATATTTATTAAAGCTGAGAACTTGAATTTTTGCCTTACCCCTCAACGGGTATACTCACGAGACCCACTGTTGTCGTATAACTGTCCCAAGTCCATTTTCCACTTTCTGTAGTGCTGTGCTTGCGTAACGTTGGTACTCCAACGACTTACCTGAAAATACAATAAGAATTAAACCCGGATGCAGGGGTAGGAGTTTGAATAAATACGAGAAGCTGAAATAGACAGTGGCAAACACGGGAAGTTGCGCCTGAGCCGATTTCGCGCCCTGTCATTGGATGAGGACAGCTCACCTGGGCATGCGCGTCCGTGACCTATTCCCTCCATTTCCGCACTATAAATATCACGACAGAGCTGTGACATCCGCAGTTTTTGCATGATATTATGCAACTAAAAGTTTATAAGAACTAATGAGGCTACATGAATATTTATATAGCGTTTCACGTTACGCACCGATTGTTAAACAGTACTGTTTATTGCATTTGCAACAGTTTCGTCATTTGTTTTTTTATAGTGATTGTGTTGGCAGGTCATAAAGACTAACGTATTTCAATTATCTATAAACACCTGCATTGTTTTATAGTACATCATGCATAATTATACTAATGTAATGCATTCATCAGTTTACGTAATAAATACGATATAGTCACGTGTGTTAAATTAATTTTAGACCTCGTTTGTCGGTTCCATTTTAATAGTAAAGTAGGTCATAAAGTCTATTCTTGACGCTTAAACTGAGTTGTTGCAAAATTGCACCATGCACTTTGTAAACAATGTTATATTGGGTTAGGTCAGGAAATAATCCACCTAAACGTTAACAGGGGAACTTACGTTAGTCGACATATCAATCGATACGTAGTCAGCTCTAGAAAGAACAGATAGTCTTTTAAGAGTTTTAAACTTGCCTTTGTTTATGAGCTTTAAATGTTTTAACAATCATTACGCTAAATTCTATGTTTGCGATGTATTTGCCGAAAACGTGCAAATCGTGCTATTGTTTCTCATCACCGAAAATATGGGGTAGGAAGAATAGTTATCGTATTACTTATAAAGGTAATTTATACCCGACGTGACCATTTTATTTTTCCTCAAAGCGGGAAACTGTCACTTTATTACTGTTTTAAAAATAATACACAATGTTTATGATAGGTGTGAAATGTTTTTAAAAAGAATTAAAAAATATTTAAAGATCAAAAGTTTAAAAAAAGAACTAATCTTGTTTATATTATTAATGTTTATGTTTTTATTATGTTGTTCATTTTATTAATGTCACTTGTGTACTGTTTTGTCAAAGCCGGACATTGTTAAGTATTTTGAGGACAGCGGGACACGGAATTTAAAAGCGGGACGTATGGTCACGTTATGCATACCTCGTGTTTTTCAAGATATAATTGTCACTTTTTTCCCACCTTTTGGTTTTGGTACTTCGTTTCGACATCTCTTTAAAACCGTGTAAACTAATTAGTGTGTTTCATCTGTGTTGACTGAGAGACTACAGTGTAAACTCTGCTAAACTCGCAGAACATGCTAAAATGTTTAGATTATGACTTAACACTTCAAGTCCTTCTTCACCCGGTGTTCCTCTTACCCCACCTGACCATACCAAAATTTTTCGTCAAAAATGTCGAATGCGTTCTCCAGCGAACCAACTTTCGGGATCTTTTTAAACCATGATCTCTCGTCTATAGGTTGGCCAATCGACAGGCTAACAAATTCTGACTTTTTGAGCTGGTAATAAAAAGCGACGTTATCGACTTGACTAGACTAAACTAATAAAGAATCAAAATCAGGGAGCTACTATTATTCTCCGTCTGACGTTCGTCTGAAACCATCACTACCAAATAAGTAACAGTCGAGCGAGTTAAAAGACAATGTCAAAATTATTTGCATCATGCGTTTTTTAATTTGGTCAAGTACTAGGTACTTGTTTGACAGAAATTGTTTCCGACGGAGGACATGTCGAATGCCCTGCGTATTAATACGTTGGCCAACGGGACCACCACAGCGAACCGGTCCCCATAAACGAATTTACATTTTAAAATATTTTTCAGTTATTTGTAAAATAACAAAAGAAACTAAGACTAAACTGACAACCTCCGCGGTCGTGGCTTGCACACCGCTTTTCATGGTGTCGCCATCTCCGAGGTCCTCGATCCCTGGACGGGTCAATGTAGAAAACTAACTTTTCAATATTGTCTCGGGTCTGGGTACACTGGGTATTGTGCAAATTCAAATTCAAATCAAAATAATCTTTATTTCATAGGTAAGGATTATTACACTTGAAATCGTCACAATATTAAACTCTACCGCTCATTCGTAAGGCAGATTCCCCTGAGAAGAATGAGCAAGAAACTCTAGGGGTTGTTGCTCTTTGTAAATAACATTTACAATATTTTTTTTTTTATTTGAAACATCAATATTTTTGACTTTGTGAAGACGACTATCAAGAAAAGCTAGTTTATCTCTATTCCTCGTACTAATGTTATGTCTGTCACTATTTTTCATAAATAAATTACTATTCCTTTTAACATAAATTACATTCTCATAAATGTACTGTGAGGCTAGTGTAAGAATGTTAATTTCCTTAAACTTATCTCTCAAAGATACTTTGGGGCCCAGATTGTAAATTGCCCTAACTGCACGTTTCTGCAGGACAAAGATTCTGTTGATATCGGCGGCATTACCCCAAAGCAAAATGCCGTATGTCATTAGACTGTGAAAGTAGCTGAAGTAAACCAATCTAGCGGTTTCGACGTCTGAAAGTTTCCTTATTTTTTTAATCGCGTACACTGCAGAGCCGAGCCGTTTTGATAACTTACTTATATGGGGACCCCATTGCAATTTAGCATCTAACGTTATACCTAGAAATACAACTGTATCCACAAGATTCAATTTTTCGTTTCTAACTACAATGTTTGTAACCGTCTCTCTAACATTGGGTAATGTAAATTTCACACAATTTGTTTTTTTCTCATTAAGAAGTAGGTTATTAACAGCAAACCAATCAACTACTTTAGATATAGCATTGTTCACATCGTCGTAGGAACATTTGCGGTACCGTCGTTGTTTCCGATTGCCATAATACAAGTGCTTTAGTTACTACTTTGGAATCAGAGCAACGCATGTGATGTTGTCTAATATTTATTAATTTATTAAAAGATTATTGTACAAACATTTTGCTCCGTCAAGACGACGTATTTGCCCATTTAAACTCGATTTGCAAGTAGAAACAAGGGGAAGTGATATTTGACAATTCGCTTAAATGAAAGCGAGACGTCTCGTTACATTTAATTTTAATCAGTCGATTCGCGAAATTGAATATAGGTCATATGTACGACAAAATTAGATTCATTCCTGCGATTTACTTATTGTATTTTAGGAAGAGATTTATGTTTTCGTCGTATTGTTAATTTATTTAACAACCACACGGTAGTAAAAGTTTTAAAAAAGCTAAGCAAGTGTCTTTTTACGACCCATTGACACGACATCTTATTCCAAAAGCATTCCAGTACCTTGTCCCTCACTCTTTTTATTTTTCCGAGTAAAATACTCACAAAATTATTTACCTAGTGACATTGGAGTTAATATAGTTTCCAATAAAAATATATACGATCCGAGAAACGACATGTTTACAGTTATAATATTTTATTATGAAATCGTAATAACAGT